TGATACACGAAAATCTATTTCAAGTAACAGTTTGTAAACAGGGAATTTTATAGTCAGATGTTTTTGGCTTTGGAGTGAACAAGTTACCTTCAATAGAACATTGTTATTAAGAAGTTATAATCACGGGGCACTGCTTGACCTAGACAGAGATCAGGGCCCTGTTGTGCCAGGTGCTGCCCAGACACAGCGAGAGACCATCCCTGCCCCTAAGAGTTTATAATGTAAGTAGCCCAGGGCACCATTATTATCCTGATTTTTGGGGTAAGGAAACTGAGACTAGACAGATGCAGCAACTGGCCAAACCTCACCTACGGCATTTTTACAAAGCAGAGATTAGAACCCAGAGTACCCGGCCATCAGCTTAGACACAAGCCCATCCCTCCACTCCCACCAGCTGCTGCCCCTGAGCTTGAAAGTCCTGTCCATCTGTGAAAGAAGTTGGTGAGGACTCAGGCAGGGTAGAAGAGAGACTCTCTGTGGCTGAGGGGTGAGAGGCTCTTTCCCCCGGGGGCAGTGGGGTTTGGGAGGGGGCAGGCTTTGGGATCCAGCTGCAGAGGACTCTGGGATACCTCCCCTCAATGCAGTGCTCCAGCATTTCCAAGGCCTAGTTGACTCCGCCCTGAGTCCAGGCCAGAGCAGGGATTTGCACCCAGGTTTCCCACATCGTGAGTCCAGCCCTGGGCCGACCCCTTCCCCCTTCCCTCCACATTGTGATCCCCCCTGCACTGGATGGGCCGGACATGCCCAGCCTGGGCCCATGGCATGAGGGGGCTATTTCCGCCGGACCTCAGCATATACCCTGGCAGGTGCCTCCAGAGGCTCCCCCCGTTTGTGCTGCGGCTTGGAGAATTCGATGGAGGCGTAGTGCAGCTCATCTGGGGCCTGTGCTGTGACAGCCCTGTCCTGGACGCCTTTGGTCCGATGGGCGGCTGGAGTCTTGTGATGCTGAGTGAGAAGCAAGGCAGAGACACCAGGCAGAGACTTGCATCCACCCTGCTGAGCTGATTGCATGGGCTGCCCCAGGTCTCGTTTCTCCCACCCTCCGTGCAAATGCATTTCCTGCATCGGGCGTGTACCAGCAAGAGGCATGGGATTGGGTGTGTTTCACACTCTGCACGCATGAGCCAATCACATGCCAGCACCAGCCCAGTTAACGCATTCACTGCCTCACCTGCACAGGCCATGCATTCGCAAGATGCATGTGGGTGTGTGCATTTCATGCACTATGAATGAAGTATTTCATCCCATGCATCTCATCACAGAACAGGTTCAGGAAATGTATTTTCTCCATTTCAGGCACCGAGCACTTGGGGCAGCACTGGTTAAGTTAATGAATTCTCTGCATTGCCCGCACTGGCCATACATTGTCAATATGCAAGAGGTTGTGTACATGTTATGCACTGTGCATGCATGATTTGATCCCATGCATGTCGTGTTTCTATAGACGATGCTGATGTGTTCATTGCATTTTCTGAAGGGTGCATATATTTGCAACAGACAAAGTGTACCCTGCTGCATGCATTGTCTGATTACGTGTACGTCATACGATAGCAGGCAGCTGCAGAAATGCATTTCTTACCCAGCTCGTGCATTCGGGTGATGCCCAGGGATTGGCAGCATTGCAGCCCCAATCTATTCCGTGCACTTTGTGAATGCACATGAATGCATTCGCTGAATGTCCTCCCCTCTGAGCGAGACCCAAGGGATGAGGTGCATTTTCTGCATGCAGGAACCAATCCCACGCAGTTTGGGGAGCCCAGGCTGGTGGCAGGGATGTATTTCTTGCACCAGGCACGCGTGGGGGGTCGGGTGCCCTGGTGGAAGCCTGACTTATATTTGTGCATTTGTTAAGGGGGTGGGAAGAACAAGAAGTGGCGGGGGCAGAGAAGGGTGGGGTGGGAAGTCCAGGTAGGCTTGGTCCCCCGCTCCCGCCAGGTACATACCATGGGGATGCTGGTGACGTTACTGTAGATCAGGCTGCCCTCATCGGCCGTGTGCTCCGCCTGGCTCCTGTTAGCTGTCTCCACGGCCTCTGTGCTGGGGGGCACCGGCTGCCGGCTCCGCCGTCTGCAGACAAACGTATAAGGACTGATGAATGAGACTGGGGGAGAGGTGTAGATTAGCCCCGTAGGGAGGGGCGTAGAATAGCCCCGTAGGGAGGGGTGTAGAATAGCCCCATGGGGAGGGAGAATGAGGGCACACCAGGGATAATGGAATGGGATCTCAGAGGGGTGTGGGACGGCCAGTTGGGGTCATGGCAGGAGACTTCAGGCTTACTTGATCACACAGAGCCCAAGAAGGAAGAATCCAATGGCGACCCCCAGCCCACAGGCCATCCCGATGAACACCGGCTTGTCAGCGTCCTCCGAACCTGGAAAAACACAGAACATGGCTGGAAGAGAGCCCACGAATCCTGGCTCGCAGCCCCAAACTCACATCCCAGAGCTGGGGATAGAATCTAGAATTCCTGGATCCCAGCCCAAGCCCACAACTCCCCACCCCAACTCCCCTCCCTGAGCTGGTTACAGAATCCAGGAGACAAATGTCTCATCTCTGTGCAGTGGCTGAGTTCAAAGTGCAGGGTGACGTAGCTCACGTGGGGGTTGGAGATGAGGCAGAAGATCGAGAACCCCCTCTCCCCACTCTCAGTCCAGGTCAGGGCAGAATCATAGAATCATAGAATACCATTGTTGGAAGGGACCTTAGTAGTCATCTAGTCATCTAGTCCAACCCCCTGCTCAAAACAGGACCAATCCCCAATGAAATCATCCCAGCCAGGGCTTTGTCAAGCCTGACCTTAAAAACCTCTAAGGAAGGAGATTCCACCACCTCCCTAGGGAACCCATTCCAGTGCATCACCACCCTCTTAGTGAAAAAGTTTTTCCTTATATCCAACCTAAACTTCCCCCACTGCAACTTGAGACCATTACTCCTTGTTCTGTCATCTGGTATCACTGAGAAAAGCCTAGATCCATCCTCTTTAGAACCCCCTTTTAGGTAGTTGAAAGTAGCTATCAAATCCCCCCTCACTCTTCTCTTCTGCAGACTAAGCAATCCCAGTTCCCTCAGCCTCTGCTCATAAGTCATGTGCTCCAGAGCCCTAATCATTTTTTGTTGCCCTCCGCTGGACTCTTTCCAATTTTTCCACATCCTTCTTGTAGTGTGGGACCCAAAACTGTACACAGCACTCCAATTAGGCATCACCAATGTCGAATAGAGGGGAACAATCACATCCCTCGATCTGCTGGCAATGCCCCTACTTATACAGCCCAAAATGGTGTTAGTCTTCTTGGCAACAAGGGCATACTGGTCATATCTAGCTTCTCCTCCACTTTAACCACTAGGTCTTTTTCTGCAGAACTGCTGCCTAGCCACTCAGTCCCTAGTCTGTAGCAGTGCATGGGACTCTTCTGTCCTAAGTGCAGGACTCTGCACTTGTCCTTGTTGAAAATCATCAGATTTCTTTTGGCCCAAGTCTCTAATATTTCTAGGTCCTTCTGTATACTATCCCTACCCTCCAGCATATCTACCACTCCTCCCAGTTTAGTGTCATCTGAAAACTTGCTGAGGGTGCAGTCCACGCGAACCTCCAGACCATTAATGAAGATATTGAACAAAGCCGACCCCAGGACCGACCCTTGGGGCTCTCCGCTTGATACCATCTGCCAACTAGACATGGAGCCATTGATCACAGCCCGTTGAGCCCTATGATCTAGCCAGCTTTCTATCCACTTTATAGTCCATTCATCCAGCCCATACTTCTTTGACTTGCTGGCAAGAAAACTGTGGGAGACCGTATCAAAAGCTTTATTAAAGTCAAGGATTAAGGCATCCACTGGTTTCCCCTTATCCACAGAGCCAATTGTCTAGTCATAGAAGGCAATTAGTTTAGTCAGGCATGACTTGCCCTTGGTGAATCCATGCTGAGTGTTCCTGATCTCTTTCCTCTCCTCTAAGTGCTTCAGAATTGATTCCTTGAGGACCTGCTCCATGATTTTTCCAGGGACTGAGGTGAAGCTGACTTCTTCCCTTTTCTAAAGATGGACACTACATTCGCCTTTTCCCAGTCATCCGGGACCTCCCCCAATCACCATGAGTTTTCAAAGATAATGGCCAATGGCTCTGCAATCACATCCGCCAACCCCTTTAGCACCCTCGGATGCAGCGCATTTGGCTCCATGGACTTGTGCCCGTCCAGCTTTTCTAAGTAGTTCCGAACCACTTCCTTTCTCCTCAGAGGGCTGGTCACCTCCTCCCCATGCTGTGCTGCCCAGTGCAGCCATCTGGGAGCTCCCCTTGTTCGTGAAGACAGAGGCAAAAAAAGCATTGTCTACATTAGCTTTTTCCACATCCTCGGTCACTAGGTTGCCTCCCTCATTCAGTAAGGCGCCCACACTTTCCTTGACTTCCTTCCTGTTGCTAACACACCTGAAGAAACCCGTCTTGTTACTCTTAACAGCTCTTGTACCTGCAACTCCAGGTGTGATTTCTCTTCCCGATTTCACTCCTGCATGCCTGAGCAATATATTTATACTCCTCCCAGGTCATTTGTCCAATCTTCTGCTTCTTGTAAGCTTTATTTTTTTTGTGTTTAAGGTCAGAAATGATTTCACTGTTAACCCAAGCTGGTCGCCTGCCATATTTACTATTCCTTCTACAAACTGGGATGGTTTGTTCCTGCAATGTCAATAAGGATTCTATAATATATAGCCAGCTCTCCTGGACTCCTTTCCCCCTCATGTTATTCTCCCAGGGGATCCTGCCCATCAGTTCCCTGAGGGAGTCAAAGTCTGCTTTTCTGAAGTCCAGGGTTCGAATTCTGCTGCTCTCCTTTCTTCCTTGTGTTAGGATCCTCAACTCAACCATCTCATGGCCACTGCCTCCCAGGTTCCCATCCACTTTTGCTTCCCCTACTAATTCTTCCTGGTTTGTGAGCAGCAGGTCAAGAAGAGCTCTGCCCCTAGTTGGTTCCTCCAGCACTTGCACTAGGAAATTGTCGCCTACACTTTTCTGACAGTCTCGTTCCCCTGGTCCCACGAGCTGATGTGCAGGGCCCCATGTGAGCCGTTCCCAGCCAGGGGCTCCCCATCCACCTGCCACTGGAGCCAGGGAGGGTGGTTGGAGCACAGGGAGCAGGTGCAGCTGATACTGGGCCCCTGGTGCTGGCAGGACGAGTTCAGCCCGGTCCCCGGCTGGGGGCTGTCAGAGGAGAGCAGGAGATATAGTGACAATAGTCAGAGAGAGAAATCCAGTGGGAGGAAGTCCCATGGGTTAAACCCAGTCACACTCGATGAGCAGCTGGAACGTCCCCTGGGCAGAGCTCTCGTTCTGGTCCCAGCGCCTGTACAGCCCCTGTCCTCAGCCGTCACGTTGGGCAGCTCCAGCCACAGATGATTCACCCCCATGGAGTGGGCACCCCCAACAGCTCAGCTCCCCATCACCCAGCCCAGCTCCAATGTGGGGGCTGCTGGCGAGGGAGCAGAGGAACTGCAGTGAGTCACCCTCCCGGGCCATGAGCTGTGAACCGTTGGTCACCAGGGTGCCGGAATCTGGTAACAGGAATAACAAGAAGCCACTCGCACCCTGAACCAACCAGTCCCTGCCCAGGGGCCGGATCAGGGACAGCAACAATAGAGGGGAAAGTCCCCGTGCCCCACTCCCCAACCCTAGCGATACGTTGGAATAGCTGCAGGTCCTTCCTGTTAGCTCTGGAGACAGTGATTTGCAGAGTCCTCACTGGAGCTGAAATACCCACGGCAACATGTTAGATTGGAGAGCGCCCCCCACTGACCCCCTGCCACACTGCCTGCAGCATGGCACCCCCTAGCACCATACACTGCACCTGGACACGCAGGGTCTGACTGGCCGATCCATAGGAATTTTTCGCCCAGCACCGATACTCCCCAGCATCCCCTCTGCTGAGATTCGGCAACTCCAGGCGCCCGGCCCCTCCCTGGCCGGAGCTCAGCGACTCCTTCCCCTTGGCCCAGCTCAGGTAGGTGTCAGCTCTGCTCCCAGCGTCACAGCTCAGACTCAGGGAGTCACCTTCCTGGGTCTCCAGAGACACAATGTCACGCTCAGCTCCCAATGGGGCCGGCACTGGAGGAGACGAGCAGGCATGTTAGGCCCCCCAGAGATTCTCTGCCAAGAAACCGAGATTCAGCCACCTCTGGGGTGGGAAATGGGGGCTGTTTGCATGAGGAGCCCTCGCCCAGTTTGGAGACATAGCCAGCTCTGGGGTTGGAGCATAATCTTGCTGACTTTCCATGGCAGCAGGTCTCTGTCGCAGCGTTCGGTCCCTGACCTATCTCCTCCCCATTGCCTAGCGCCCCCTTAATGCCATCCCTGGGTCTGGAGACAGAAATAACTGGGTCCGCTTCCCCCACCCCCTCCCTACATTCCTGTGGCTTCCTCCGGCTTCCCGGCTCAGCCTGGCACCTGGCCCTGAGCGCTGACAGAGCGTGACGAGGAGGCACTCGCTGATTCCTGGGGCTTGCAGCATGGCCTCTCACTGGAGTGCTGCCCCATGGGCTGGAGACAGAGGGAATCGGGCCCGATCGTCCCACCATCCTCCCTACAGCCCTGAGGCTTCCTTGGGCTTCCTTGAACTCTCCTCTCCCGGCATAGACTAGTCTGGCCATGGGCGACATATGAACTGCCAGCTCAGAGAGGCTAGCCCCTGGCCTCACCCCTTCTGCCAGAGGTCACATCCCCACTGGAGTCAGGAACCCGCCCACCGTGGCCTCTGGCCCCCCTGAGCCAGCCCTGGGCCACCAGAGCACCCCGACCCGAGAGCACTGGCCCCCTCTAACCCTCGCCCCAGCCACAGCGCTGCCAAGGGGTAATAGCATGGGCACTGAGCAAGAAAGGACCTGCTCCCCTGTCCCAAATCTGACCTAGTGCCCCTGCCCCGGGTGAGCCAGGAGTGGCCAGAGGGCTGCAGGAGGCCGTGGGCTCTGGCGAGATGCAGCCCACGTGTGACAGCGCGAAGCCTTGAGCTACATGCCGAGCATCAGGCACCACAAGCCGCAGTAGCAGCTCAGGAGGATGGTAATACCCCATGTGCCAGGTCCCCCGGACTACTGCGCTGCTGCTGGCTGTGGCGTTGCCTTCAGAGCTGGGTGCCCGGCCAGCACCCAACAGTATCAGGCCACCCTGCCAGGGCTTAATTTGAGCCACAGCTGAGCTCTGGCATCTCTTTCAATACAAATTAAACACCGTGGGAGGCAACGGGGCCCATTGGCCTCACCCGGGGTGGCAGTCCCCCCAGATGAGGTCTCATTCTCTGTTTCCTCAGTCCCTTGAGTTTCTAATTCCTTGTCAGCTCTTCGGTGGGTGAGGGGCAGCTCGATCTACACGCCAAACTCGGGCATTTCCTGACCCCCGGGCATTCCTTCATTCTCCTTCCAAGAGATAGAGACAGAGAGAGAGACAGAGGTGTCCTGTGAGAGAAAGTGAAAGAGATTCTGGGGTATGTAAGTGGCTGGCAGTTGGGATAGATAGATAGATAGATGGATGATGGGTGGTTGTATGGGGATGAATAGATGCATAGACAGCTGGGTGGGTACATAGTTGGGTGGGTGGGTGGATAGAAGATAGGTGGGCAGATTGGTTGGCAGGTGTATGGGTAGGTGGGTAGATGGGTGTGTAGGAACTTTGTGGGTGGGTCGGTAGCTGAATTACCCTCTGTAACAGAGCAGGGTGAGGTAATAGGCCAGGAAGAATCCAGTCGCCATGAAGACGAGTTTGAAGCTGATTTCGATAAATGCCCGAGTGAGGCCACCTGATGGAGCTAGAAGAAGTCAAGAGTCTGGGATAGCTCCCTGCAAACCCTGCCCCGAGCCAACCAGCCCCCCATCCCCACTCCTCTTCCAGCTCAGGGTGCTGATGGCCTCATGCCCATAGGCCCAGGAGTTGACCTGCAGGGCCCCCCATGAGCCCTTCACAGCCCAGGGCTCCCCATCCACTTGCCACTGGATACAGGGCAGGGGGTGGGAGCACAGGGAGCAGCTGCAGCTGATGCTGGGCCCCTGGCGCTGTCAGGACGAGTTCAGCCTGGTCCCCGGCCGGGGGCTGTCTGGGGAGCACAGGAATAACAGCAACAAATTAATAATCAGAGAGTGAAACCCTGGGGCAGGGTGTTTCCCGGGTTAACCCACTCACATCCGTGAGAGGGAGTTCCATGTGTTAACCTCACTAACACTCAATGAGCAGCTGGAACGTCCCCTGGGCCGAGCTATCCTCTCTCTGAGCCCAGCACACGTACAGCTGCCCGTCCTGGGCCATCGCTTGGGCAGCTCCAGTCACATCTGATTCTCCCGCGCAGGGAGGGCACTCTCGAAGGCTCAGCCCCCCCCTCATCCAGCTTTTGACGGAGCAGAGGAACCACAGGGAATCACCCTCCCGGGCCGTGAGCTGTGAGCCTCTCCCCAATCTCTCCAGCACAGTGCCCCCCACTAACTCTCCACCCCACTCCCAGCAGCACAGCACGCCCCACTGATGCCCTGCCCTGCTCCGTTTGGCACAGCGCCCACTAGCGCCTTAACTGCACGTGCACATGCAGGGCCCGGCTGGCCGACTCATAGGAATTCTTTGCCCAGCACCGATAGTCCCCTGCATCCCCTCTGCTGAGATTCGGCGCTCCAGGAGCCCGGCCCCTCCCTGGCCCTCGGCCAGTGTGGAGACGTAGCCAGCTCTGGGGTTGGAGCACAATCTTGGTGACTTTCCATGGCAGCAGGTCTCTGTGGCAGAGATCAGTCCCTGACCCATCTCATCCCCACTTCCCAGAGCCCCCTTAATGACACACCAGGGACTGGAGACTGAGGGAACCGGGCCTACTCCCCGCACCACGCCCCCTACAGTCCTATGGCATCCCTCGGGCTCTCCCCTCTGGGCACAGCCCACCCCGGCCCGGCTGAGCCTGGTGCCTGGCCCTGAGCAGGAGCAGAGCATGACTAGGAGGCGCTCGATGATTCCCGGGGCTCACAGCGCGGCCTCTAACCGGGGCGTCCGTTCCTGGTCATGTTCCCGGTGATGTTGGGGTGCCCGGTCGGGTCTGTAACACAAACAAGACAGGGGGGATCAGGGGGGCTGGACAGCACCGGTGGCTATACAGGCACCCCTCACCCAGCATGGGGACGTAGCCAGCTCTTAGGTGGGTGCACAATCTCGGTACCTTTCCATGGCGGCAGGTCTCTGTTGCACAGATCGGTCCCTAACCCATCTCCTCCCCACTGCCCAGCGCCCCCTACTGCCTCGCTGCGGGCTGGAGACAGAGGGAACCAGGCCGAACCTCCCACCATCCTCCCTACAGCCCTGAGGCTTCCTTGGCCTCTCCCCTCCGGGCACAGACTAGTCTGGCCATGGGCGACATATGAACTGCCAGCTCAGGGAGGCTAGCACCTGGCCCCACCCCTTCTGCCAGAGGCCACACGCCCACTGGAGCCTAGAGCCCCCCTGCTGGTGCCTCTGCCCCCCCAAGTCAGACCTGGGCCACCAGAGCAACACGGCCCCAGAGCACTGCGTGGGAGGGAGGCGTAGCAATAGCCTCCTGTAGTCCCGGGCCAGAGGCCGGCCCCCTCTAACCCTAACCCTAGCCCCGGCCCCAAGGCTGCCAAGGGGGAACAGCATGGGCAGTGAGCAGGAGAGGACCTGGGGGCAGAGAATGGGCGGGGCCATGTAGGGCTGTTTGGAGCAGCTCAGCCTCCCTTGGCCTGTGATATCCACCACCCGTGAGCCTGGCCAGGCTGAGCCTGGTGCCTGGCCCTGACCGCCGGCAGAGCGTGACTAGGAGGCGCTCGGTTATTCCCGGGGGTAGCAGCATGGCCTCTCACCGGGGCGTCCGTTCCTGGTCAGGATCCCAGTGATGTTGGGGGGCCCAGTCAGGTCTGTAACACAAACCAGACAGGGGGAATGAGGGGGACTGGACAGCACCGGATGGGGGGTCGTTAGTGATCACTGAGCCTAGACATGGCCCCTCGCTGTGAGCTCAGCTGGGGGACGGGAAAGTTCCTGGAGTGACACAAGACACGTGGGCGTGGAAGTGAAGCGACAGACCCGACTGGGGTTGACCTAAGAGGCACCCGACGGAACCCAGGGGCCGGGTTAAGGCTGCGCCGGGGACCAGAACCGTGGGAAATGGAAACCCAAGGGACCAAAACTGTTTGGTAAAAATTGGGCCTAATTGACAGAGTAACTAACGAGGGGCTGGGCTGCTTCAGCCTGGGTACTTGAGCGAGCATCACCAGCACCAATGTCTGCCGGGCGCCTGGGCATTCAGTGTCCTGCTCCCCAAACATGTCCTCCCCAGGTGGGACAGAGCCAGGGGTCTACGTAACCCCATTCCCACCCCCAACCCAGACCCAGCCACCACCAGGGACATCAGACATGTCCCTCATGAGTCCTTTCCCTTCACCCCTCAATTCGTCTCTGTGCAGCCCTCTCCTTTCACCCTCTGGCTTATCTGGACAGGACTGGATGTTTTGCAGCCTGGCTGCGCACAGAGGGGTGGCCAAAAGTAACACCCAGAACAGCTGGACACTGATACTGGCTGGCCAGGCCTGGCAGGGTGCGTCCACGCTGCCCTCAAAGCCCAGTGGCGCCGAGCCTCAGAGCCTGGGTCCGTTGGGTCGGGCTCGGGGACTCGGGCTGCGAGTCTTTGATTGCAGTGCAAACATTTCCTCCAAGGTCTGTGTAGACCTTCGGGGTTGGGCTGGGGCCTGGGCTCAGACACGGGCGGGGGACTGGGAGGCAGGTTCCTTCTCAATCTCCCTCCGGCTGAGGGAACAAGGGCCGTCCTTACAGTGATGCCTGATTTGATCCTTCACCTTGCAAAGGTGGCCGCAGATTTCCCCTCTGGCCTGGATCTGCAGTGCGAGGGTCACAGGCCATTTAATGAGGGGTTTCCCTGGGGCAGGGCAGGCCGAGGTCTCTGGGCACCGAGCCCGGAGTATGTTTAGTGCTGGATGGTGACTCGGTTCCATTAATGCTCTGCCCCATATAAAGCATCCACCGATCCTGGCAGATAGGGGAGGGGGTGGGGGAGACGCGGTGGGACAGCCTGGTGGGATCTCAGGGAGAACTGCGGGGGCTGTTGTGAGGGGAAATCGCAACAAGGGGAGATTGCAATTGGGGGGACGGATCACAGCACAGGTGGATTCTGGAGACAGGGTAGGTTGGGGGTAGAAAGGGAAGCCCTAACAAACGAGGACAAGAAGGGGTGAAGATCCCAAGGGAGAAGGGCTCCAAGGTGTGGAGAGAAGGGGCCTGGAGTAGAATTGGCTGAGGGTGCATGGCACGGGGTGGGTATCCCAGCACAAGGCTCAGTTCGGGGAAGGGCTGGAGAGCAGGGCTGGGGAGCCCAGGGGTGAGGATCCCAGCATAGGGAGTTTGGGGCCGGCATGGAGGGGCTGGGTTTGGTCACTCACAGACTACGTGGAGCCAGATGGTTCTGCTGGTGGAAGGTTCCTGTGCTGAGCTGTAGGTGACGGTGCAGACGAGCTCTTTGCCATTGTCTCCCAGGTCAGGCGTGAAGCTGAGCTCAGAGCTGTGGGCCCAGGTGCCGTTCGCCAGCTGGGCTGAGACATTCCGAGCTGTGTTAATGAATGGCCCCGTCCAGGTGATTTGCGGAGGGGACCCGGAGCAGCGCCCAGGGGCCGTGCAGGTCATAGTTACTGGGTGCCCGGCCAGCAAGGTCCCTGGCAGGTCCCGCGCCGGCGAGATCTGGATCTCTGGCTCCTCTGTCAACTCTGAGACATGGGGAGAGGGGAGAGAATCACTCAGGGACATGGGGCATTTGCCCTTTAGGACGCCGGGTCCGATCTGGCCACAGGACGGGGACTGGCTGGCTCAGGGGGGCTGATGAGGGGTGTCATAAATATAGAGGGAAGAGTAACAACTTTCTATATGTAGTAGCATAAAATCCCTCTTTGGCAGCTGTACTAAATCACCTTACTTGTAAGGGATTAGTCCGCTCAAATAACCCAGTTGGCACTTTACGAGAAGGACCAATGAGGAAAGAAGATACTTTCAAACCTGTGGGGGTGGGGGGAGGATTTGTTTGTTGCTGTCTCTTTGTTGTTCCCTCTCTGGATGGAGGAGGGAGGGAGAGACCAAGCAGGTACAACATCTCCTGAAAAGATACCTGGAATAATAGATCTAAACCCACAGAAATTGTAAGTAGGCAGGGAAAGGCGTTAGGTTATCTTTTGTTTTAGCTTGTGAATTTTCCTATGCTTCACATGTAGTTTGATTCCTGTTTTTGTAACTGTGAAGCTGAGCCAGAGGGGAATCATCTGTGTTTTAAAAAGAGTCTGGTCTGTGCTCACATTGTTAACCGATTGGTTGGTATATTATTCTCAAGCCTCCGCAGGAAAGGGGGTGAAGGGACTTGGGGGGATATTTTGGGGGGATAGGGATTCCAAGTGACCCTGTCCTGAATTTCTCTATAAATCACGTGGTGGTGGCAGCAATACCATCCAAGGACAAGGGAAGGAATTTGTGCCTTGGGGAA